CCCCCAATGCCTCCTCCGGCAACCGGAATACTGCTGAGTAGAGTGAGAATGCGCATGGAATAAAAGTACAGTATCATAAATTTTAACCCGCAAATAATCCTAGCCCCGCCTCCTGAAATTTACAGATTGTTATTTAGTTCTGTTCCATGCAGCGAGAAAGTGCATTTTTCAAAGGACATCTGATCTCTGGCCAACGAGCTGCGGAGTCTTTTTCTGGGTAGCAGCCTTGAAGAACTGAATGGTAAGGTATAATCGAGTAGGAGATAGGGGATCTGAGTATTATCAAAAATGAAAAAGGAATTAGTCTAAGTATCATGTGCAAGAAGACTTGTTTTGATGCATTCTGCAAAGAGGGTGGACTAGTTCATATAAATGTGTTTTAGAGTTGGTGTTTATGGATGGCGAAAACGATGCTTGTACTGTTTTGTTTGTGTGCTGACTATCGTTGTTGTGCTGAATCTTGCATTAACTGTATGGATCATGACGGTTCTGGACATTTCATCTGTAAGCGCCATTTGTTCTCTTTTAGGTAGCACAATGCTTCATGTAATCCAAAACAAGAGCAGTACAAATCATTTGGTTAAAAATTATTTCGTGTGAATTATGAATACATATTCTGATTTTCCTTCGTTTAAAACAACTTCGGCACAAATAACCGCAGCTCAACCTTACATTAGTAACTTAAAGTGGCTGAGCTAAGAAATAAATGATATGTTTTTTATTTAGACTGGCATGGGTACGATGCGGATAGGCGAGGATAGTATTCGAGTAATGGGTGAAGCACAGTTCGATCGGCCTGTGCACTTCACTGAATTATCCACGGCTGACGTGAGTTAATTTTCACGCAGGCTTGACTAGATTACTCCAGTTTAACACAACCAGTCCGTATGTGAGTTGCAGAACGAAGCCCTAACAATCGACTCGTCTCGCGGTGTCTTCATAAAAGCCAGGAATATGTCTGGCTATCAGACAGCAATGATCAATATGTTTCAAGACGGGCGCACCGAAGCAGTCTGTGATCGTTTTGAGATCTATGATAACGCTCGCAAGCTGCTTTTTTTCGCCGAATCAAATGAAATTGGCCTAAAGCTGGAAAATCTCAGGATACTCGGCATGTTTTTCAAACATTTCAACGTTTTATTACTTTTGTCGGTGCTGGATCGAAATAGCAGCAGCAATTCACTTAGTATTTACGACAACCTCAGAAGTTTGGCACTTCTTAACATTACATATATAT